CAGGACGTGAGTCACTGTGCAGAAATTAAAAGCAAAATTTGAATTTAAATGAAATATTATTATATTGTACAACTTCAAAATAAATTACACACATTAATAAAACAAAATTACAATGATTGCCGAAAGTAGAACATACCGAAATACATTTACAGAATTAATGAAAATAGCGATTCACAAAAGGAATAAAGTCCAGGTTTTGGAAATTTCTGAAGGCTCGTGTAGTACATTTGCTCACCTTATAATTTGACAAATGAAATGCGCAAAGTCAAAAGTTCCGTCCGGGGCGAATCAATGACAGGGTCTCTCCGCAGTGTGGGTGATAATACGACTGATCTGCCGGCTGACCGGAGCGCGAGATTATATGGAGCGGCCGATTGATCACGTGGGAAGTTGGATTCCCTGAGCAGCAGCGGAGGCTGCGGGGAAAAACCGGGGTTTCGGAATCGAAAATATTAAAAAAACAAAAATAGTTGAGACGGGCTGCGAGACCAAATGAGGAGTGGTATTAATTTCCGATTTTCGTGGTGACGCATATAGAGAGATAATTAATGTTGTTGTTTTTAAATTTAACTTCCGGAATGTATGAGCCGCGGAGCGAAATAAAATCAAGCGGGTTCCAAAATCGATTTGAAGTGGGTGGTATAGGGACGCGGTGCCAAAGCAGCAACAGGGTGAACGGCGTGTCTTGATTTGAAAATAGAGACGCTGGCCTCGCCGGCCACGGCGTCCGCTGTGGCATCAAAGAGCACCATTCATTGAGTTTGGCCGATAAAGCGACTTGCACATTTTGTTGCACAAAGTATTCGCGGTAGTCTGCGGCGCAAGTGGCTCAAGGAATTAATCACTTGCTCAATTTAGCAGACGCGCAAGAAGTGCAGATTAAATTTCAATTGAGTAATTCAATCGAGACATTTAACCGGCGCGTAATGAAATTAAATAAATAATTAAAAAATATACTAATTATTAAAGTCACTAATAAAATCATTAATTATTAAGAGGCCATACTATTTACAAAATCGTCACGAGCTGTCCGCCAATTAAATATCAAAAAATCCCAAAACGTAAATTTTGTGTTTGCTTTTGCATCTGAGGAAAGGATGGTTCCAGCCAGAGCGACCGGGGCTTGAGCGCACAATGACCCAAAACAATTAAGAGAAATTTGGCTGTCTGTCTCGATCAGACTCAACTTCACCCTTTTTTACCTTTACTACGACCGCTGGAGACATTACATTAACTTCCCCTCACTTTATTTCGGTTAAAATTTAAATTTTAGTCCTACGGATTGAAAAATCTGATTTTGATTTTGAGAATAAAATTATTATATTTAAATCGCGATTGAATTATTGCAATTAAAAGGGGAGTCAGAAACATTTCCAGGGTTAAAGGTAGAACTTTTTTGTGCAAAAAAGTAGAAATGAAAACTGCGTCCGCGTATTAAGACAAAAAAACTTCTGCCGCAGTGCGCCACTGCGTGTTTTTCGCCAATTCAAGTCCAAAAAGTCCTGCACACCCTTGGCATATCTTGGGGTTGCATCTCCTCCCCCCCGTCCTCCCTCTTGGCGCCAGAAGCTCATTGTGTGTGACAACCTTGGACTACCCTTCATTATTACTTAATTGTCGTCGGCTCTACTTGACTGACCGCACAGGTGCACCACCTCCAACCCTCCTGCTATTCAACGAAAGGGAGAAAACCGCGCTTCGATGTTTAAAAAAAAAATTGACACGCAAACCTGCACGCACAACCCTTTGAGCGACACAACCTTCTTCTGTGCACGCAATCTGAAATGATCCCTCCTCAAATCTGGCTGACTTCTTTTTCAATCTCTAAAAAAGAAATAACTCGGCTGAGGAGTCATGAAATTAATTATTCTAACCGAAAAATATTTGAAAATCAATGCAAAAGAGTGAAGCCTTTATATTGTTTTGATACCTCCTTATTTATTGATTTTGTGCGCAAATTTATATTTCTTATCTTATCTTATATCACCAATTTCGAATGTCACTCGAGATCTTGATTTAATTGAATTTCTTTTAACTGATTTTGTACTTAAAGCGTTGAACGTAATTTTTTTACTTTAAATTTTTGAACGATCAAAATTTTTGTCTCTCAATTGCAGCGCATGTGTGTTTCCTGCTTTAATTTTATCGCCGCAGTCGTGTATCTTTTGATTTCGGCCGGCACAGCTAATTGTCACCCTTTCCGCTCGTTTTTCAACATCAATTTTTGTGTGTGACCAAGAAGATAAAATAATAGGGAATTTAGCACCAGCAAATCCCATAAGAAATTTAGCATGCGAATATCTCGCAATAATTTTACTCCTTATTTGCCTTTCTGCCTCTCCAATTTAATTTGTGCAACCATCGGCCAGCTCAATCCGAATTGAGAGAATGAATAAGAGAGAAAGATTTTTCTTTTCTAATTCCATTTACTTCAATTTTTCCTAATTAATGCCGTCCCATTATTTTATACGATCGACTCATTTTTAGAATGTTAATCTGAAAAGTACACCACCCTTTTAGCACGTCTGCAACGCCGGTTGCCTATTCTAGAATACTGAAGTTGCTTTAAAGATTTTCCGATTATAAAATTACAGGCGCATTGATTAAACTGGCCAAAACTCCAATGATATTCCAATGAAAATTGATTTAAATTATTATTCCAAAAGCACCAATTTTTTATTTATTTATTCTCCATTCGATACGGTCATGAGTTTTTTTTTTATAAATCTCAATTTATTTATTTCAAAGTTAGTGGAATTTAAGTTTCCTTAATTTTGAGAAAAATAATTGTAATTGCCGAGTTTTGATATGTTTGTGCTGTCGAATTTTGTGTGATATGTGTGATGTGTTAGTGGGTGTAGAATTTATAAAGATGACATAATTATAATTTACAAAAAAACAGTTAAAATTAAATTCTTTAAGAATTTTATTATGATAAATACATGGAGTTAAATGTATATTGGGTATTTTCAGCGATTTGACGTATTTCCAAACACAAAAGTTGTAAAGGCAATGAACAATAATGATGGATTTCTGATTAAATGCTGCTTGCGAAAATATGTCTTGTCTAAGACTTTTCATAATTTTAGATATTTCCGCAGTGGAAAAAATTGAAACGCCTTTGTCATTTGCTTAATAAAAAACTTAATCAAAATAATACTGTTTGAAAATAGCAGAAAATGAATTTTGGGAAAAAAACAGCCTTTTGGAAATGAATGCCTTTTTTTAATTCATTGTTGTAAAAATAGCGATTACTTAATTTACATTTTTTTTAAATCATTAAAATTATGTTATTATTTTTTCTTAATTTTAAATTTATTGTTTCAAGAAGGAATATGCAATGCAAAGGAGAACCTCTTTACCGTAATTTTCGTTTTCTTACATCGACCGCGACAATAATTCTTTGAAATAAATTACGATAATATAATTATTTGTTTGTCATTAACCACCGGCCCATGCAAGCAGCAAGGAATTTTAGAATATTTCGGAATATTCGTGCCATGGAATGTTCTGGAAATATTCAAAATAACTGAAATTTTGCTGACCAGGCAGGATTAATTATTTTCGTGCACAGAACGCTTTTTTCGGCAGTTTGCTACTTTTCAAAAAAGATGGTCGGTTTTCCCAGTGCCTCGTTCTGGCCATTTAAAATTAACTAAACTCTAATGAATTATCTTTTTCCACGAGGACTTCTGGTGCTTCCGGCCACGACACCTCGTCAATTGGCTCTACCAGTTCATGCTGGTGTTGACCTTGCTGCACTTCCTAATTTCCGAAACGCAAAAATTGACCTAACTTTTAAACAGACTCTGGAAAATTCGGGGGAAAATTGCTATTTGATAAAAAGATTTTTGCCGGAGAGTAACGATTTTCAGCTTTTCTGTTCTGATCGGGACACGTACAATTGCTATTACAACTGGAAAATTATTCCTTCCTGTTACCTAATTGGAATTTTCGTCGCGCCTCTTTTACTTTCCTAAAATTTGCGTTATTTTCAAGCGTTTTTTGCAAAATTGTTTGAATTGACAAATAAAAGTATTATTCTCGATTCGAACGCCAATTTGCACGGTATTTGGGAAGAGTTTCACAAAATGTTTGGATTTCCGGCGCTGATTTAATTTTTTGGCCACGCGCGCTCTACTTGATGAGACGGTCATGTGTGGCATTGCCGAGACGCTGATTGTGTGCTAATTCGCCGCCAAATCGATCAAAAACATTTTGGTTCACATTTTCTGGAGCTTTTTGGACCTTTTCTTCAATTTTGACTGATGAGGTGAGAGAAATAAATTTAAAATTTGTGAAAACTCTTTTCAGGCAAAAAAACAAATGGACAATTTTTGAGTAAAATTGCCAATTTTAACTAACAAACGTTTGTTAGTTTTAAAGTGAAGTTTCTAATTAAAAATTTCTAAAAAGTTTCATTTTTCATAATATATTTAATTCAGCTTGATTATATTTGAAATTTTGGAAAAATTTATTTACCTTTTTGAGCTAAATTTTCTTTTGTAAATAATTTCCACTGTGCATCCTGCTGCAATCACGCAGTTGCCTCAACTGGCGCTTCCCAACTGAACCTTGCTATATATAAAAGTGACCGGTGCTGATAATTTTTAATGTTCGTTCACAACACTATCAGGAAATGACGTAATTCTTCCCCAGTGTTTCAACAAAATTTAATTGTCCAAATGTCCGCCTGCATGAGGTGGTATAAAAATTTAAGGATTGTTTTTGTTAAGAGAAATCAAATTAATTAACGGGGTTTGTTGATGCATTATGTACGTTTGGTTCTTAGTTCTTTTTTATGAATATTTTTTGTTAAGTGGGTTTTAAAATTAAAATCCTAATAGTGAAATTAATTTTAAAAATCAGTCTAATAATCTTTTGTGGAAAATCAATTGTTGAGAATTAACAAGCCTATTTTTGGGATGAAAAGTAAATTCTTTGACGTTGGAGAATTCAGGTACAAAGGTTGCCTGAATTCTCTCACGTCGACCGATGGGTGGGAATATTCTAGAAGAAGGGCAATCTTTTGTTTATGAAAAGTGGGTGGGTGCTTATGGTATATAAGGAGCTCCCCCGTCGGCCGCAGCACGACTTGCAGATCCGCCTTTTACCGATTAGGTAGGCGACTCTCTTGCCACTGCTGCTGACGGAGGAACTCAAAGGTTAACTCTTTGTTCCCAGGATCGACCACAAGCAGACCGTTCCGTCCCCGACGACCGGACGGCCTCCCTTGCCTCCACCCTGGTCAGTTGTGCCCCCGCCAGAGGATCCCGAGCTGCACCTGTCCCGTCCAACCTTGACGGTAAGAGATACGCCCTCTAGTTCCTTTGCGGTCAGCTGATGGCCCCAATACTGTTCTAGGGCGGACCCTCTCACCGGACAGCGACGTCGGACAGAAGCGGTGCCTAACCCGGACACTCCACCCCGGCTGCTACAAGTCACCCTCCAAACCCGTGCCTGCAATTAACCCAGGTAAACTAAGTCCGACTGTGTTGTTGCATTAAATACAACAACCATTTTATCAATAACCAGCCTATACTCACTATTCCCCTAATTTCCAGGCCCTCCAGACGGTGACCTGCCTTGCCGTGGCCCTCAGGAGAAGACCTGGTTCCGCCCGCTGCCATCCGTCCGACCATCACGTCCTGCTGCGAGTCCACCACCTCCGCAGGTGTCCGGACCGTTGCTGCTGCCAGCTGACCAGCCACCTCTGAGGCAATAGTTCCTGCTGCCTGCCGCCGCCCACAGCTACGACCCCGCTCAAGAGCGCCCTTTCTGCAACCCCTTCCCGAAAAACCAAGACTGTATTCCCAGAAAATTAAATCAAATCTCAAATATTTAGAAGTGTGCAATTTATAGGGAATATAACCAAACCCACAGCAGTAACTTATTTTGTTTAATTCCTTTTATTTCCTGAAAATAGTCGAGTTATAAATTGGAAGTTTCCTAAAAAAAAAAATCAGTACTTTATTTAACAAAAGCCTCTTGCCTGCAATCTTATAAAATAGGAATAAATTAATTTTAAATTTTTCCTAACCAGAGGTGTAAATATGGCGCTTTTTCGCTTATATTATTATCATATATTGTATTTTATTTCCAGGCTGTTTATAAAAGAATTACTTAAATATGAATTAAAATTGATTTAATCGCTCAAGTGATATTTATTTACGCCGTAAGAATAGCAAGGAGGCTCACTGCGGCGGATGGGGTCTTCTTGGCCTCGGAGGTTTTAGCAAAATTTTTGCTAGTGGTGGTGCCGTTTTGTCCAACAATTTCTTTTTGCAAAATAAATGTTTTCATCAATTTGTATGTAAACAATGTGATGTAACAATTTGGACAAATAAACAACAATAATAAAAAAAAGATGAACAGCGAGGTACTGGCCCGTCTCCGATTGGCTTCTGAGACGACCAAGCCCGAGTGACACCATCGAGTTTTGATAAAACTCTCAAAACCATGAAAGTTAATTTTATATAAATCAACTAATCCGACTTAATGAATTTCATTTGTCAGGATTCCAGGGTCGTGAGTACTGTGCAGCAATTAAAACTAGGATTTTAATGTAAAAATGAAATATATTATTTATTAAACCCTAAAGAAAGTTACAAGTACTTGAATAAAATATCAATTACAATTACGCCAAAAGAACGGACCGAAATACACTTGCAGAATTTCATATATAGTTTTGGCCGATAAAGCCACTTGCACACTTTGTTGCAAAATGAATTCGCGGTAAAATGTTCTCCATGAATCTCAATTGTATTGACGATTATGGAGCATAAATGAAGTAATATAGAAGAGCAATTTGAAAATACTGCGAATACACATGCCGGGGATTTGCGGAAAATTGCTGAAGGCTCGTGTTGTACGATATAATTTGATAAATGAAATGCGCACAAAGTTTCGGCCGGGGGTGTTGCAGTGTGGACAGGCTCTTTCCACTGTGTGTGTGATGAGACTACTGAGATCTCCTCATTGAGCGGGGCGCGATATCATAAGCAGCGGCAGATTGATCACGTGGGAGGTCGACAGAAATATTGCAGCAGCGTAGGCGGCGGGCAAGAACCGCGGCTCGGAGCAAGATTTGGTTGACGAAAATAGGTGAGACGGGCTGCGAGACCAAATGAGGATATGCAATAAAATTTAATTTCTGATAATATTTCATAGCGCTGCTTAGGGAAAGACGAGCTAGCGCGTGAGAAATAGAGAGGCGCTTGGCTAGTTCGCGTGATAATGAAAGAGAGCTTGACCTTGCCTTTCCTCTGTCGCATTAAAGAGCACCATTCATTAAGTTTTGGCCGATAAAGCAACTTGCACATTTTGTTGCTCAAAGTATTCGCGGTAGTCTGAGGCGCAAATGGAGCAATGAAATTAATTATTTAATAAGGGGCCATACCGTTTACAAACCCATTTAACTTCTGCATCAATAAAATAATTTTAAAAAATTAAAAAATAGCTCAAACGTTGAGAAAATTGATTAAATAAAAATTATTTTCTCCCAAATTAAAATCTGGGTCATTTCCTGTTTTCAAGGTTGTAAATTTAGCCTGCCAGGCGTACTAAAAAAGCGACCACCACAGTTTAAAGAGTGGGGTCTTTTCCCTATCAACTAAAAACTGCTTTTTGCTTTGAGATAAAAACCTCATTAATTTTAAATGATAATGAAGTTTCAACTTCAACTTTGAGGCCAATGAGGCCAGAAACAAACATGGCCATCCTCATGCATGCACACATTTGCACAGTCAAGCAAGTAAATTAATAAATATATTTTCCTCCCAAATATGATTTTATAATACTTTTGAGTAATGGGTGAAAGGCCACAACGTTTACAATTGGGCCATTTTATCTGAATTTATGCCGTCCCTTCATTTCATACAATTTTTAGAATGTTAACCTGAAACCCTTGTAGCACGCCTGCAACGTACGCCGGTTGCCTATTCTAGAATACTTAAGCTACTAAAAAGGCTCCTATTATAATTAGGCGCATTGATTAAACTGCCTGAAAACTGCAATGATATTCCAATCAATATTTATTAAAAAAATTATCTATGTATCAAAAGCACCAAGAGGATGCCAAATAGAAGAATCTAAGTTTCATTAATTTTTAGAAAGAAATATTAAAATAATTACATAATTTTGAATTGTTTGTGTTGTTGAGTTTTTTTAACCCTCAGTTAATGTGATAAAAATTGATATAGCTGAATAAAAAGTCTAATTGGTTGAACACATTCTCGTTAGATAAGAAAAAGTCTACTTTTTTATCTGCAGATTATCTCAAAGGCTTATTATTCAATGGAGAAAAATAATTTTGCTATACAAAATCGTTACCAACCTGTGTATGATGTGAAATTTGAGACCGTATTTGATTGAAGTTATGGGGTGTTTTGCAGCAGTGAAACAGCAGAAGTCTGTTTTTCTTCTATATATTCGAACTGTGGAAAAGAATTACAATAATTATTTATGCAAATTAAAATTCAAACTTGAAATTCTGCAAAATTCGTTCTACACATTAGACTTTTTCTTAATTAAAAATACCAGGATGAAATCATGAGAAACATTGACAAATTATGTATCGTTTTGAAGAGCAATTAATAAGGAATATTTTAAACATAGCATATGAGTTTTACCTGTAATGAAAGGGTTGAAATCGGGGGCGAAGAATGCGCTTTTGAGAGAGGCACAGCAACAAAGTGAGAGAATGACGAGTGCTGACAATAAGGAGGCCACAAAAAGTCAAAGACTTAAATAAAAGTCATCATCATCATCAGTGCAATATGGTGAAATTTCTTGATTACACATTTAAATAAAAGATATCATTATTGCACATTTCTATCATTGTATTTTAATTATTTATTGGTTTCAATCAGCACATAGATAAGCCAATAAGTTCAAATAACTTTTAGCTATTCCTTTATGCTACTTTTGTCCGCAAGTTGAAGGACTTCTTGTGTCATAAGAAATTTTATTGCGAGTATTATGATTCTATGTGCACTTTGTGATTTTTATTTTTTGTAAATACATTTTGTATAGTTCTCTTATTCCTTAAACTCCATTGCAAACGAGTAGGTTATGCTGAGTGATACTATAATGTTATTGTAATACTACGTCATAGAAGCAATAAAGAATGAATTGAATTGAATTTTTATTTTGGATTACTAAATGGAAATATTTATGCCAAAGCAAGATCTTTGAACTTGCATAATTTCATATAGCAGGCTTTTATGTGATAAATATAATCGTAATAAATATCTAGGTTAATTTGCTTTTGAATCAAATTAATTGTTGATGATACCCTTGATGATGAAAGCAATTAATTAATATTAATATGTGGCGTGTTTATTTGGTGAGTTGTTCTTTGCACCACACATGACCTGGTGAGCGCTGAAAACATTTTAGACTTTTCTTATCAAGTTCGAGTATTTGCTGAATCATAAGACTTTTTATTAAGATATAAATCGAATCAGAGTGAGACCTGCAAACATCTACAAACGTGAAGCAGCAGCCAGCGTCCTCAATCAAAGTATTGTGCTCATCACTCTTCAAGGTATTTTATAATTTAATTACGGTATTAAAAAACATTTTGCAAAATTATTTTGGAAGAAAGACTTCATGATTTTTCATTTCCTTTAAGACCATATTGTAACTAATGCGCCTGCGCCTCTTAATTTACACAAATGTATCCTATCAGATAAACTATATCAAGGTTCGCGCATCACAACAATGGAACACATTTAGATTAATTGATGTTTCAGCGTCCTGATTGGTGGAAACGCTTTTTAAGCCAATCAGAACGCTCGGCAACAATCAAAATTTGCTCTAATTGAACAGTACTAGTACATTACTAGTACATTACTAGTACATTACTAGTATAGTACTAGTACATTACTAGTATAGTACTAGTACAGTACTAGTACATTACTAGTATAGTACTAGTACAGTACTAGTACATTACTAGTACATTACTAGTACATTACTAGTACATTACTAGTACATTACTAGTACAGTACTAGTACATTACTAGTATCGTACTAGTACATTACTAGTACAGTACTAGTACTAGTACAGTACTAGTACTAGTACAGTACTAGCACATTACTAGTACAGTACTAGTACATTACTAGTACAGTACTAGTACATTACTAGTACATTACTAGTACAGTACTAGTACAGTACTAGTATAGTACTAGTACATTACTAGTATAGTACTAGTACAGTACTAGTACATTACTAGTATAGTACTAGTACATTACTAGTATAGTACTAGTACATTACTAGTACATTTTTAGTACATTACTAGTAACGAACTAGCACATTTTTAGTACATTACTAGTACAATACTAGTACATTACTAGTATAGTACTAGTACAGTACTAGTACATTACTAGTACAGTACTAGTACATTACTAGTACATTACTAGTACAGTACTAGTACATTACTAGTACATTACTAGTACATTACTAGTAACGAACTAGCACATTTTTAGTACATTACTAGTACAATACTAGTACATTACTAGTATAGTACTAGTACAGTACTAGTACATTACTAGTACAGTACTAGCACATTTTTAGTACATTACTAGTACAATACTAGTACATTACTAGTATAGTACTAGTACAGTACTAGTACATTACTAGTACAGTACTAGTACATTACTAGTACATTACTAGTACATTACTAGTACATTACTAGTACATTACTAGTACATTACTAGTACATTACTAGTACATTACTAGTACAGTACTAGTACATTACTAGTACATTACTAGTACATTACTAGTACATTACTAGTACATTACTAGTACATTACTAGTACATTACTAGTACATTACTAGTACAGTACTAGTACATTACTAGTATCGTACTAGTACATTACTAGTACAGTACTAGTACTAGTACAGTACTAGTACTAGTACAGTACTAGCACATTACTAGTACAGTACTAGTACATTACTAGTACAGTACTAGTACATTACTAGTACATTACTAGTACAGTACTAGTACAGTACTAGTATAGTACTAGTACATTACTAGTATAGTACTAGTACAGTACTAGTACATTACTAGTATAGTACTAGTACATTACTAGTATAGTACTAGTACATTACTAGTACATTACTAGTACATTACTAGTACATTACTAGTACATTACTAGTACATTACTAGTACATTACTAGTACAGTACTAGTACATTACTAGTATCGTACTAGTACATTACTAGTACAGTACTAGTACTAGTACAGTACTAGTACTAGTACAGTACTAGCACATTACTAGTACAGTACTAGTACATTACTAGTACAGTACTAGTACATTACTAGTACATTACTAGTACAGTACTAGTACAGTACTAGTATAGTACTAGTACATTACTAGTATAGTACTAGTACAGTACTAGTACATTACTAGTATAGTACTAGTACAGTACTAGTATAGTACTAGTACATTACTAGTATAGTACTAGTACAGTACTAGTACATTACTAGTATAGTACTAGTACATTACTAGTACAGTACTAGTACTAGTACAGTACTAGCACATTACTAGTACAGTACTAGTACATTACTAGTACAGTACTAGTACATTACTAGTACATTACTAGTACAGTACTAGTACAGTACTAGTATAGTACTAGTACATTACTAGTATAGTACTAGTACAGTACTAGTACATTACTAGTATAGTACTAGTACATTACTAGTATAGTACTAGTACATTACTAGTACATTTTTAGTACATTACTAGTAACGAACTAGCACATTTTTAGTACATTACTAGTACAATACTAGTACATTACTAGTATAGTACTAGTACAGTACTAGTACATTACTAGTACATTACTAGTACATTACTAGTACATTACTAGTACATTACTAGTACATTACTAGTACATTACTAGTACATTACTAGTACAGTACTAGTACATTACTAGTATCGTACTAGTACATTACTAGTACAGTACTAGTACTAGTACAGTACTAGTACTAGTACAGTACTAGCACATTACTAGTACAGTACTAGTACATTACTAGTACAGTACTAGTACATTACTAGTACATTACTAGTACAGTACTAGTATAGTACTAGTACAGTACTAGTATAGTACTAGTACATTACTAGTATAGTACTAGTACAGTACTAGTACATTACTAGTATAGTACTAGTACATTACTAGTATAGTACTAGTACATTACTAGTACATTTTTAGTACATTACTAGTAACGAACTAGCACATTTTTAGTACATTACTAGTACAATACTAGTACATTACTAGTATAGTACTAGTACAGTACTAGTACATTACTAGTACAGTACTAGTACATTACTAGTACATTACTAGTACAGTACTAGTACATTACTAGTACATTACTAGTACATTACTAGTAACGAACTAGCACATTTTTAGTACATTACTAGTACAATACTAGTACATTACTAGTATAGTACTAGTACAGTACTAGTACATTACTAGTACAGTACTAGCACATTTTTAGTACATTACTAGTACAATACTAGTACATTACTAGTATAGTACTAGTACAGTACTAGTACATTACTAGTACAGTACTAGTACATTACTAGTACATTACTAGTACATTACTAGTACATTACTAGTACATTACTAGTACATTACTAGTACATTACTAGTACATTACTAGTACAGTACTAGTACATTACTAGTATCGTACTAGTACATTACTAGTACAGTACTAGTACTAGTACAGTACTAGCACATTACTAGTACATTACTAGTACAGTACTAGTATAGTACTAGTACATTACTAGTATAGTACTAGTACAGTACTAGTACAGTACTAGTACATTACTAGTATAGTACTAGTACATTACTAGTATAGTACTAGTACATTACTAGTACATTACTAGTACATTACTAGTAACGAACTAGCACATTTTTAGTACATTAATAGTACAATACTAGTACATTACTAGTATAGTACTAGTACAGTACTAGTACATTACTAGTACAGTACTAGTACAATACTAGTACATTACTAGTACAGTACTAGTCTTTACTAGTACATTACTAGTAACGAACTAGCACATTTTTAGTACATTACTAGTACAATACTAGTACATTACTAGTATAGTACTAGTACAGTACTAGTACATTACTAGTACAGTACTAGTACAGACTAGTTCATTACTAGTACATTACTCGCAATCTCTGCCTTCACCGGCTTTTGACGATTTAAATTAAAAATCGAGAAATAGCCCACAAAAATAAAATAATATTCATATTGATGTAGGTACATATCAAGTTAGTAATTTATTCTTTGTTTTCTTGCTGAAAATTTATTAAGAAAAAAATTAATTTTAAAATTTCATTTTTGATATATATAATTTTAATGTATCCTTCATTTAAAAAAATTTACAACTTCATAGCCAAAACATGAAGAATTGGAAATATTTTTTCCATTTAAATAATCAATAAAGATTCAAACGGAATTAATAAGAATTTACCTTGCCTGTTGAAATAAACTATTTGTATGTTAATTAAAATTTAATGTATATCAAAACGAGGATTTTTCTTAGGATAAATATTTAATAAACGAATTTCATGTTATCTTTTCCTTTCTAAATTTTATTTTAATCTTGACAAAACGTTTTCATCTCAGTTAGATGAGTTACAAAATTTGCAAAATTGAATGAAAAATTCAAAGAGTTATCAGATGCAAAAATGTTATTCTAAATTCCAAAAACTAATTTTATACATGTAAAATTATACTCTGGCTATTTGGTTCAGCTTCTTACCACAAACTTCTTTTCTTATACGTAATATGGATTTTTATTCAAATTTAATTAACATTAAATTATATAGTTCTTTATGATTTACGAATGCTAGTTGGAAACCCTTTCTTCTTTTTTTTATTTTTTTTTTTATTATTGACCGAGAAGAATAAATAATAATAAAATTATTTCCTTTCCTCTGATGAAGTAAAAATTTCGCGCTTTTAAAGAAGGCAATTTGCACGTTTAGTAGTGTAAGAATTTTTATGAAATTTCACATGTTACGAATTTGCGATTTTATTTGAAGTGCAAGAGAGCTGAATTGTTCTTTAGCCCTATATAGACACGATTATAAGAATATTGTTTTCACCAATAAAAATTTTCTCCCTTCAGGAAGACCAATATTACTTTGATGGGAATATCAGTCGCACCCGTTCCTTGACTTCGATTTACTTTTGCGCCAGAAGAACTTAATCTTTCGGCATTTTTAATCACCTTTTATTTTCTTTCTATAAAAGTCAATGTTCTTTTTTTAACACCAATGAATATTTATCATGAATTCCAAATTAAAAAAAAAAAAACGATAAAAGTCTAGCTCGAGCTTGGGTAGGACCTGTGTGGCGGCGCCACCGTCCGATATGTGTGAGCATTCCTGGCCTGTCTGGAAATTCCGGCGGCAGGTGGCGGGAGTTTTGAGTCTGGCGGGAAGTCTAGCCCTGACGACGGACGACGGCGGACGCAGCAGTCGAGTGCGCCGTGAGTCGGTTGGTTTAGTGAGGGTCCGGAGATATGTAGGATCGGAGGTGCGACGAGGTGCGAAATTAGTGCCGGTGGGTTCGCCGGCTGCTCATGAGGAAAATGTGAAATTCGGACAGAGCATTTATGCCGTTCGTCAAGCGCGTGGTGACGCCGACGCTGGTGTGTCGCGCCTCGGACGCTGCCCGGACGCAGGCGGACCAGCAGCCGCAGGGTCGGTTGTTGGCCGACGACAGCGAGTTGGTCGCCGTCAGCAACTGCGCCCTCAGCAATGCCATCCGCCAGCTGGCGTCGCTCGCCGGACACGCCGACGAGATCTTCGGACAGCTCAAGACGCAGCTGGGCGAGATCAACGCGAGGGCGTCCGGCGTGCGCGAACGTCTGCAGGCCCTCGAGGAGCGCGCCGAGAATCTCAACGCGCGCACCGTCACAGTCCGTGAGTGCCCAAAACTTCTAATTTTAATTACAATTAATTAAATTGATTCCTAATTTATTGTAAATTTAAACAAAAAATTAAGATATTTACAATATTGCAAAATTTTAAAACACTTTTATTGATCTAATCGATCAAAGGATTGATGCTTAAAGTATTTTGGCGCCAAAACTCTAAATTTATTTTGTTTTTATTAAATGTTGATAAAATTTATTACTATTTTAATGTAAATTAAAAGTGGAATTCCAATGTTTATAATAATTTTAAATTTAAAGACTCTTTAATATATCAAGATGATCAAAAGAGTGAAAATGGAACAGATATTTTGTTGCCAAAACAGTTTGTAATGGAGATTTCATTTAAAACTTTTGTTCAAACTGAAGATTGTTCTAGAAATTTTAGATTCCTGATTTAGATTAAAACAATTTTTAACACTTTTTAATAAGTTCAAAGAAGCGGTTAAAAACTAAGGAATTCGTTTTCATTAGAGGAATAAAACTGAAAACTTAAAGAAGTCGGTTGAACTAATTACACGAAGTTACATTTTACTACATTGGTTATTATTGGATATGTACATATTATTCAATATTGTTTGTATCCAAATGCTGGATAGGATAATTGTAATTAATTTTTTAGTTGAAGAAATCGTAAAAAATTAAAACAAGCAAAGCAATAAACGACTGAAATGACCCATGGAGAGGCAAAGGCGAATTTCTATAATAAAAAATCACCTAATCGTGTAATTCTTTGTGAAAATAAATATTTATTTATATTTTGAATTTATTTTTTGCAATATTTAAAAACTTCACTCAACCTTTTTTGGTATTTTTATTCTAAAATATTTTCAAAAATTAATTTAAAAATTAATTCAAAAGATAGTTTCAATGTACATATTTCAATTTTTCTATTTTAAAAATCTATGAATTTCCAATTAATTTCTCATGGGAATTAAATTAAATTCGAATTATTTTCATTAACTCAATACTCAATTTTGCTGGATTCAAATGTTTACTCCAAAAATATTCCAAAATTAGACTGGCCATTACTCCATCCGCACGCGAAGAAAGCGAAAACTGTTATTCGAGCCGGGTGCGCGACGTTGTTGACAAAATGTTTTCTTACTTGGAATCGACTCAAAAATTTGGCCCACTGAGTGCAATGTCTGTCTACCTCGCCTCCTCAGGTGGTCCGGAAACGTGCTGAGAACCCCATTGCCGCAATAATAATAATAATAATAATGAGGGGACTCACGAAAGTATGCGTCGCGTTATCAGCGGAATGGAAAAAAATTGCCTGTCTGGAGGCGTTTTCTGCCTGTCTGTTTTCGGCCGTTGCAACATCAATCAATCCGAAAGCACGAAAAAGGTCCATAAACAATGGGAGCTCAAATTGCTTTGCATAAAAAAAATTACATTTCGGACTAAAGCAATTTGTTTGAGGTTTCAAAAAAATTATATTAAAGATTAAAGACCCTCTCATGAAATAATTTTATTTTTTGAATTAGAAAGAACTAAAAAATTCTCCAACACAATTTTTACTTCTCAAATTTTCCAACCTCAATTTTGACTTTTTATTTGGTTTTATTTTAAATTCATGAATACAAGTTTTTTCTTCTTACTAAGAAGGATTTTTTCACATTTTTTCCTCTCGTGAGATCCGTTTCGTGAGATTTCAAACGGCGCCAATTAAGGTTTTATCAGTCCGAGCCAATCTCGCTTAGTACTTCATATACTAATTAGGTGCATTACCCTTTTTGATCTCCATCCGGCGCTTTTGATTTTGGAGCTTTTTGCTCCACACTCGGCCGAAGAAGGCCGTGCACGGCCACTTCATTAAGCTGCCGCATCCATTTTAATTCACCAACAGATAATTAACGTTCGATGGCTTATCTCTCTTCAAAGAAAGAAGAATGTTGACCTGGCGAGGAAAAAATGCCCGGGGCGATTTCCTGTCTCCACGAGAGAGAGAGGAAAGGAGATTTTTTATGGCTTGAGAGGACACGGATTTTGTGTGACAGTTAGGCAAACACGCGCCACTCTTTGTGGTCCGTTAATTTCCAAACGCAAAGATTGTTTTTAATTTGATCCTTCAAGTTGCGGTGGAATGATTAATTTGACGATTTCTCAGAAGGGAAAAGGTGGAGAGATCAAATGGTCTGATGGCCATTGGGGACAAAACAAAGGCCGCAGGTGTCAATATTTATCATTTTTGTGGGGAATTTAGAAATGAAAAAAATTAATTTCATAACAAATGAAAAATAATTATATAAACTATGGTTCATGATTGAAACTAGAACTCAATTAAATCCTCATTTTAAATATGATAAAAAATAGTTTAATTTAAACAAGCGTTTTTCAGGAATTTTGGCAATAAAAATACTTATTATTAATTATTTTAAATATTAATTTATTAATAAAAATTAAATTAAAAGCATCCTTGTAAAAAAAATATGGTTAAAATTATTGTAACAAGTGTTTTTTAGTAACTTTCGTTATAAAAATAAAAAAAAATATTAATAATTTAAATAGAGGTTTTTTAGTGAAAAATAAGTTGAAAGCATTATTTAAAAAAATATTTAATCACTTAAAAGAGGTTTTTAAAATTATCTAAACAATTTTTTATATTAACAATATCTTATTTTTAAATAATTCAATACAGCAATTATTGTTTAAAATCAATTAACTCTTGAAAATGTTATAAACACTTAATCTGCTTGTTTTCAATAAATCTTCCTCTTTTTTTTTAATTTTTACTTCGTCTTCACTTGACAGTTTAGCGCGCTGGTTTCGCACAAAAGGCAAAAAAGCACCCAAGTGAAAATCTCCACCTCCAAACCTTGTTCACGCCATCCTCGGTCCCTACTTTTTTGCTCGAAAACCGACGCTGCTCTTCATGCCTGACCACCTTTAATTAAAAGGTACACACACAACTCCTATAAAGCGAAGTGCGTGAAATATTGAAGGTTGTTGGTATAAATTAAACGATCCTTATTTGGAATTTTCTTCCTCGTCAGCCGCGAGAGTGAAATCAACAGGTGGTTGAAAATTTGTTTTCAAATCCAATGTACGAAATGCTCCATTTAAGGCGTGCGCGGTGAAAGTGAAAATATATAATCGCGATTGAAATCCGACATAAATCATCCCCGTCGCGAGTCTCAGCGGATAAAAGCCGATTTTCCCCGCTCGGATGCTAAACAAAAGATAAAAAGCATCCCGCGGTCGGCAGCTTATATTATTTATCGTCGGTTTAATAGTTGCGCGAGTATTCCAGGTCACGACTGCAAACGCGCAATCGAATTCGGCGCGAGATAATCTGAAGCGTTATTTTCGAGTTGGAAAGAAAATCTTCTTTCTCCGTTGCACGCTTTGTTGTGTGGCAAACGCGGCGCTCAAGGTTGCTGGCTACAAAATTGTGTCTCTCCGGGACGATTACCGTGAAAAGTTTCACAGGGCAGTGTGTCAAAGATAAAAAATAATTATATATATAAAAATAAAGCGATTATTGCTGGTTCGAGAAATCAATAAATTACTTAATTATGTGAAAAGTGAGTGGATTGGAAACTACTTTCTTGTTTATCACGCGGTGTTGCCGTTTCTTCTAATTTTGTATTTATTTATTTGTGTAGAAGAAACAAGAACAAAAAAATAAACAACAATAACTGATATGATTTAAAGAATTGAATTATATTTGAATAGTTTTTTTTTTGTTATTTTAATGTGCATAAATTTGTTGATTATTATTTCTTTTACAAAAATTTTACAAAATTTATAGGAATTCGTTCTGTAAAATTCTTCCTTATATTAATTCAAAATTTAAATTTTTTAAAGAATGATAATAAATTTAAAAATTATTAATATAACTGTAAATTCAATATTCATCAATAATTTAATGATCATTTTTGAAGTTTTGTTAAAAAATTTTCTAACAATTTATTTTCATTCAATCAAAATTTGATAACGTTTTGGACAAATTAACAATCACAATGGTTAAAAAATAAATAAAAATCTCACAAATTAGTGTAATCACTTTCCTGATTTTTTTTTCACTTCCCTTATTGTTTCCAAGCGACCTTTCAGGTGGTCCCTGTTCTCTCTTTGGACATAATTTTTCTCCTCGAGTGCTTCGACAGAATCCCATTATGCATCCCTGGGCGACAAAACCTTCCAATACCTTTGTACAGGGCGTCATGCAGTTCTTTTCCATCCCATTTTTTTTCCACTTCGACCTACGCGTTCATTTGTACCAATTTCCGGGGCTCGAACCCGTTTCTCGTCTGCATACCTGGCTGCGTTTCACATCCTACTTCCCTCGGCGTGACATTGTCGCGTCAAAAATTCACCACGCGGCCGAGCATCTGCCTCTGCTCTTATCAATGGAAACTGGTTTTGATTGAGAGAAAGAAAGAAAGAGAAAAGGACTCCTCGAGTTGCTGGCAGATAATGGCGCGAAAATGTTCAACCGCCTGCTGCGGCGTAATGAGCAATTTTTTATACTTCGTGACACGGGAATTCTCGCGCCATCGTGAGGTGCAAAAAAAATATGTTAAAGCAAAAAAAAAAAAATGCTGACTTGAATGAGATACATAATGGTCGGCTTGCAAACCTTTGACGACTCACTCCCCACCGAATGAAAGTGAAAGACTAGAAAAATTTACAGCAAAATACTTAGTTCCATCATTTTTTTATAAATAAATAAAAAAAAGTCATATTTATAATTAATATCTTTTTAATTTGGTAAAAAAAACGTAGAAAATCAATATTTCTAGCATTAAAATTGCATTCAAAAATTGAAAAAAATATTACTTTTTATTATTTTTATAAACAATAATTTAAATTATAAAAATGTTTATTTAACTTTTAATTAATTTAAAAAATATTTTGTAAGTGGTAAATTTTTTAATTTTTATTTTTTTATACGGTTTTATTTTTATTTTGAACTTTCTCTCTTGCATGAAATGTCATCTATATTTATAAATCTTACCCTCACTGGCTCTGTTTGAAACA